CCCGCAGCGCCGGGACGCGCCCCTGGCGGCCGTTAAAAATGGCGACCGTCACCGAGCTGAAGGCTGGTGAGTGCGAGTGGGGGGCTTGCCAGGTGAAATGCAGCTGGTCCGCAGCCCGTGAAAAGGATGGGTCGAAAGGAGGGCGCGCGGAGAGGAGTCAGCCTTTCCGGGCGGTCTCTCTGCGGCGCCAGGGCCTGCGCAGCCGGCTGCTGTAGTGGCCGCTGTGCTAGGACCCTGGAGGGGACGGGTTGCACGGGGCAGTTTTTAAACCGGCTTCGAGCTGGAGCAAGAGTCGCAGAATCTGCAGGTGCCTGGGAGGTCTGCAGTCCTGCGCCTGGGGCCTCTGGCACCTCTTTCTGGACCCGCCTTGGCGTGAGCCGTCCACGCGAGGATCATGTATACAAGTCTCCACAACCATTCTAGGTGGTAGGCACGACCCTAAGCCATTTCTGCATCCTTGCAACCTGGGAGATGGGGCCCGGTTTTCCATCGGGAAAAACGGGGGGGTAGAAAGTTGCCCCGCCTGGCCATTCTGCTGTCTTTGTCGGAAAAGTGCCACAAAGGCGAGAGTCCTTAGGCTGATAACGTTTGTGCACCGTTAGTTCTGGCGCAGATGTCCAGACGGGAGTATTCATGATTATAATTGCCGGCGCTTGAGCCTTATACGCCAGGCCCGGCCCGGCCCCTGTGCTACGTACTTGATCCCACTGACAACCCCATGCCCACTTCAGAGATGAGGAAGTTGGGGTGCTGCGAGGTGAAATAGCTCGCCCGCCCGAGATGATCCAGCCAGAAGGAGGCGGAGCGTGAGGACAGATAACGCTGCACCGGAGCTCAGGTCTTTTTCTTTTCTTTCTTTTTTTTTTTTAATATATTTTATTGATTTTTTTACAGAGAGGAAGGGAGACGGATAGAGAGTTAGAAACATCGATGAGAGAGAAACATCGATCAGCTGCCTCCTGCACACTCCCTACTGGGGATGTGCCTGCAACCAAGGTACATGCCCTTGATCGGAATCGAACCTGGGACCCTTCAGTCCGCAGGCTGATGCCCTATCTACTGAACCAAACCAGCCAGGGCAGGAGCTCAGGTCTTGATGGGGCGTGGCACTGCCCCACTCGTGGAACCAGTTCCAGTTTTTTCAGGGGCCTGAAGTCAGTGATTCTCGGAGCTTTGGCGGGAGGGGCGGCATCTCTTGGAGGTGAATCAGTCGCGGTGGGCATGCATGTATGTTTGTGGCCCTGGGCATGCCTTTCCCGCAAGAACAGCCTTCCTGGAAATCGGTGCACCCTCTCCCTGGGAAGCACCTCACACACAGAATTGCACACAACTTCAGAGGCGTTATGCTTAGGGTTACACACCAGGTTATGAGCCCATTTCTTTCTTTTTTTTAAAAAAATATATTTTATTGACTTTTTACAGAGAGGAAGAGAGAGAGTCAGAAACATCAATGAGAGAGAAACATCGATCAGTTGCCTCCTGCACCCCCCCCCCCTCCCCCCCCTGGGGATGTGCCCGCAACCAAAGTACATGCCCTTGACCAGAATCAAACCTGGGACCCTTCAGTCCGCAGGCTGACGCTCTATCCACTGAGCCAAACCGGTCAGGGTGAGCCCGTTTCTGAAGTGGTTATGGCACAGTGTTTTAAGCACGATGGCAGAGGGAAAGGCAAAATGATACAGGACCCTAGAAGAACTCTGTCTGTGAGTCGGGAATTGGGGGTGTCCGCACAGAGGTAGGGAGCGCTTTATGGTTTTTTTTTTCTGCATGCCCCAGTTCTGAATATGCTTTGTGTCCGAGAGAAACTCAGTGAAAATGTGTTTGCCAATCACGTATGTTTTATGAGCTGTTGTTGTTTTTTTAAGCATTTTCACATTTTCCCACCTCACTTGGTTCTGTCTCTGAGAAGCAGAATCCTGTTGGAGAGGCAACTGAGGCCCAAGGAGGCGATCAGCCCCGGAGGTGGTAGGGAGATATGCTAGGTTTCTTAACTCCAGCTTCATTCATTTCTCGGCTGAGTTTGAGGCTGTGCTGTGTGCCTACAGAGTAATTGGGACAAGATCCTCCTTGCCAGTGGAAAAAATATCTCTATGAAACTTCCAAAGATGGAATTAGAGAACAGGGGTTAGGTTACGATCCCAAGAATACGATAAGTTTGTACGTTCCTTTTATGGGCCTATTACAAAGTCTGATTTGGTGATAACTGTATGTACTTAACATGCCTGCACAAAAGTTTGAGAGGATGATTTTAAAATAAGGGTAAGAAAGGTTAAAGTCTAATCTAGATTGTATCTCTTTAATTATATGACCAGGTTTTTAAAAATATATATATTTTTATTGATTTCAGAGAAGAAGGGAGAGGGAGAGAAAGATAGAAACATCAGTGATGAGAGGGAATCATTAATTGGCTGCCTCCTGCATGCCCTACATTGGGGATTGAGCCCAAAACCCGGGCCAGCCAGGAGTCGAACCCGGGAATCGAACGGTGCCTGGTTCATAGGTCAACACTCAAACACTGAGCCATGCTGACACGGCAAGGTTTTTGTTTTGTTGTTTAATATATTTCTTTATTGATTTCAGAGAGGAAGGGAGAGGGAGAGATAGAAACATCAATGAGAGAATCATTGATAGGCTGCCTCTTGCACGCCCCCTACTGGGGATAGAGCCCGCAACCAGGGCATGTGCCCTTGGTCAGAATTGAACCTGGGACCCTTCAGTCCACAGGCCAATGCTCTATCCACTGAGCCAAACCAGCTAGGGCCAGGCAAGGTTTTTATTGTTATTTATCAAAGCTTTAAAAATACTTGTGTTCCTGGGCTCTCTTTATGAATTTTCATTATTGTTTACTTATTTGGTGCCTTTGACAGGGCACAGTACAGTATTAAACTATATTTATTACATCCAGTAGTATACAGCACTGTGTTATAATGCTCCTAGGTAGCATTTATTGAGCTCTTACTTTGGTCGAGGCCAGGGGTGGGCAAACTTTTTGACTCAAGGGCCACAATGGGTTCTTAAACTGGAC